TCAAATGCTTCGCAGAATGCTTGTAATATTAAGTGTGTCTCAGCCCACCCCAGTGTCCACCATATTGGATCAGTCTATTTGCTACATATCATAAAGGTCCAAACAGACAGCAGCAAAAAATTTGAAAACAACAAGTGCTACTACCACAGATCATCTCGCTCTCGAAATGGAATTGACGAATGAATGGAAGGGGTGGAGCGTAGCCGCCTGTGGCCCAGGCTGCCTGTCACAACTCCAGTCCGGCGCTTCATACACACGCCACTTCGTTTTTAAAAGATATAAATATAAAAAATATAACCTCAGTTGTCTGGGGGACAGTGATTCGCCTACATGTTATGAATGCTGGCGTACCATAATTGATAAATAATGAACAGTTTAGTTGGTGTCTTCAAGTCGTTGCCCATAGGAAGACGTTACTTGGATATAACATAACGGAATATCTTCAGAACAGCTCCAAATGACACAAAACTCAAAGTAACAAATGTGTGTAATTTTGATACCTCTGAATATTTCCAGCAGCCCCCCTTTTCACCAGCCTGCAGACGCCCCTGGAATAGTTTTATTTGTCCAGTAGAGGGCGCTCTGCTTATGATAGGTTGAATAATGACCTAGCTGGTTTCGCTGCCTGTTAAAAAGGGGAAATAATTTCTCTTTGGAAATGATGTGTCATGTTTCGCAGTCCGCGGCTCTGTGTAATAATAAGCATTAGTCAGCAGATCAGAGCTTTATTTTCTGCTGAGGGGTGAGCGTGTGACAGAATGAGGGAGGGTGACCGGATGCAGTTGTTTTGAAATGTTTAACTCTGTCCTCTGCTGCTCTCTGGTTCATGTCAGGATGGCGATCAATAGGACCTGCATCGGTGTCATTTACTCTTCCATCGGGGTGACCCTGGGGGTCTCTGCCTTCCTGGTGTGGAACATCGTTTACAAACAGCCGTGGACCGGAGCCATGGGGGGGCTGTCAGGTGAACTAACGCTTTTTTTTAAATTTAAAACTCCTTCCTGAGGGATTATGTGTGTAGACATAGACGAAAAACCGAGTTGTTTAAATCCATTACAAACTTTTACATTTTTAGTTTGTGTCTAAATTGTTCTTAAAGAGAATAACTGTGTGTTTTAAAGGGCTGCAGGTGTATCTCTCTTCTAATCAGGAGTCCAAAGTTCATATAGTTCAACCATCTATAGAAATGGAAATATTTAGGCCACCAAAGTGCAGAATTTCAATGCTTTTATGAAACTGACCTTTAAGCTCCGTTCATATCCATGACCTTTGCACTCATTTACTTTATGCATTGTCTTGTAAGAATGTAAAAATGACTAAAAAGGTAATAC